TATCATTAATTAATCCATTCTTTCCCTTAATTCTTTTACTACGAGATTGTGGAAAATTCTAATCCACAAAATAGATGGTTGGGCGGCTACGGTTTGAGCAGTTGGTATTTCTGATTGTGTTTGATTTATGCTGAACAGTTAGCAATTCTTGCGGAATTTTACAAGAACTGCTCAGTTCCTTTTGATTTGGTGTCGCAAGTAATAGCCGCACACACCCCTCAAGCCGTGTATCTTAGTTTTGATTAAAAATGTAAAAGGAAACCATTTGTTTCGCAAAATTTTGAGACCCTCCAAAAAAAAAATTTGCAATACTTCTTTCATTTGTCTTTTCATTTATGTATTTATTTATTCGTTTATTTATTTATTTTCAGCTGAAGAAGTTATTCGCTGGTGATCAATCGTTCATTGATTCAAAAGTTATCGGATACAAGTGAGTCTAATATTTCTTCCCCTTTGTTTTTTTTTTTAAGCTAAGTAGGTTTCCTCTAATAATACTGAGAAGTCATCCTTCACTTTGACACAGCATCCCGTGTTTGTTCTCTTCTAAATTGCAAGGTCGTAACAAAAAAGAAGAGCATAAATGCGAGGGGCCTGGTTCGAGGAAGTGATAAGAGCCAACCACCGGAATTGACTGTCTACTGATTCTCTAATATCTAATCGTTCAAGATTGCACCAAGTATCAGTTTTATGCGTTGCAAATCTCTTATTTTACAGTGAAGATCCTAATGGAAATCCCCATGCAAGAATTGTTCTTCGATTTAAACCAAATACAACAGACCCCGAGGAGATATTGAAAAAAATGGTAGAAACTGGTCATTTGGGAGAGGTGCCCATCTTTAATGATTATCTGAGTGAGTGCATCCCATAGACCTTTATATGTTCCCAATTCTCTTTCTAGTCTAATAATGATAATAATAATAATAATAATAATAACGAATATTTATACAGGATAGCCCTTCAGTGCATGAGCACTGTTATCAATGGGGTCCTGTCTAAATAACATAATATAAGGATAAAAACTAGAATAAGATAAGAATGACAACGCAACTAACTAAGTGCCCTATACAAATAATTGATCTAAAGACTCCCTAAATAGTAACTACTGCTAATTTGCTTGATTTTTATCTTAATTTATTTTCTTAATTAAATCTAAATTCAAAATCAACCCTTAAATGTTATGCGTCGCTTTTAGAAGCACAAGCTTTCTTTAGAGAGGGAAGTATCTCGATGACTCTACACTTAGAATTGAGCAATGTATATTACTATTATAAATCAGAGGATAATTAGTTTTTCATCTGCTTTTCTAAGATAGCATAATCTGTTCTTTTCTCGGAAAACTAGACTGATTGATAAAACACTTATGCGACTCGTGCATGTTGGTTAAAAATACAATCAACTGAATTCAAGCTTAAACGCTTCTTCACTTGCCATCAATCTCATTCATGCTCGTGAAACTCTATTAGGTACGATCTCGTTTAAATCAGTGTTTCCGAATGGTTCATTTTCTTGTATCAGATGGTCAGATGAATCCAACCCAGAACCCTCTCGTCCCGCAACATGACGCAGTGCCCCAGCTGAATGCTACATCAACCCCTCAGGCAGCCCCTGCTCCAGCTCCTGCCCCCGCTACAGTTCAAGCAGTACCATCACCAATGGCTCCTGCCCCCGCCGTCCCAGTCGCGAATACCACAGTGGCAGTAAATTCTCCCGCTTCAGTGGCACCTCAAGCCCAACCCGCGGCTGCTCCAGCATCTCCAGCCACTCCTCAGCCCACATTACCCCAAGACCAGCCCGTGCCCACCAATCCACAAATTCCGTATGCACAACCTGGCGAGGGTAAGTTCAGAGGAATGCTGGCTTTTAGCCCGTTACAGAAATCAAGCATATGATTCCAGCCAAATTGTACTCTACTCAGTTCCATAACCATTATTAATTTATTGTGATGCTTTTTTGAACTATCCTAAATCTCCTCCTGATGACAATTGTGATTGTGATGATAATCAAACCAAACATTGCAGTCATAGATATGGCTAAAACATAGAAACAATCTCTGAATTCATTGTTCGATTAACTTGTTATTTGTGCTTTGATTCCAGCTTTGAATGGAACAATAAAGTTAAATGAGTCGTGGTATGATTACATGGGAAATACCCAGAGTTCAACTTTCAAGATATTAGCAGAAGATATTGAACAAGCGGTGAGTATATTTCTCAATAATTAAAGTTTTGTGGGAAATTTCTACCGTCTACTAGCATCTTCAAACGCTAGATTGCGTGATCAGCTGAAGGACTATTCCATCATTTCAATTGCTCAACTGAAACACCTACCGACCGACCGACAGACCAACGAAACAAGGAAATTACTCTTTTTATTTGAATGACTCAGATCACTCAGTGACTCACTCACTAATGGACACACTGATTTAATGACTGAGCGACTGGCTGCCAGGATGTTTGGCTGACCAGCTAACTCACTGCATTTATTTACTCATTTACTCACTCACGCACTCACTTTATTGCACTGCATTTACTGGTTCCAAAAATGAGGAAACATCCCATAATAATCGTATTGTCTAACTTTACACAATGCACAGATAAGAAACGCATACGAACCGTACAGGTATACGGTAACATCAAAAGTTACAGGACTGAGGTAAGATTGCAATTTGCAATTTAAAGGCTTTGAACTACGTAAACGCATTTTAATAGGGCCAGTTAAACTTCTCGCAAGGGCAGGATTTAATCATTCTTTCATCGAAATTTTTCATGGCTAAGATGCATTTAGGTCGACTGTTCCCTCCTTCCTTCTTCATTCACTTATTTATTGACTTCATTTATTTATTTGCAGCAAGACAAATGATAATGAAGTGCTAGCTTCATTCACGATCACCTTCCCCCCCGGACAGACCCCGACTCTGATGCCCTTACAGCAGATCGTACAGGGGGGTCTTCTTGGTGGTATCCCCGTTTTTCGTGATTCTGTCCTGGAAGCAGGTTCGTAGTTAAAAAAAAAAAAAAAAAACTCGTCGGAGTTGTGTTTTTGTTGTCGAGTAAGCTCAGGGTTCAGGCTTAGGTTAGCAAGGGTAAAAAGATGACTATCAAAACTCGGAACAGTGACTTACCGATTGAGTTATGTAAAACTGATTAATGCTATTTTTTCCAGTCAATTATCAATTATCAATTATTAATTATCAATGATTAATTATCAATTATTAATTATCAATTATTGTCAGTCAGTTGTTAGAGCGCTGAGGTCGAGTCGTTGAGCACTTAAAACTGTGAGCATCCCCCTTCTATCAATTACGACTGTCTTGGGAAAGAAAAAGTTAAATAATCATACTCCGCCAGGAATATCAAATGAAGAAGGCGTGTTGGGGGTTTAAGTGTAACCTTTAACTCCCATGAATGACCAAGAGAGAATTTCTCCATACACGATCACTACAAAACCAAGCAGACAAGTGATGAGAATAGAGAAACATATCAATTAGGGTTTTATCATATGATCCTACACCAAATTCTCCAACCTAACATCATAATAATTGTATGGCAAATAGAAAGGGGAATTACGAACGAGATCTTCGGAGGGTGAATCCTGTACCGTTCGATTTAAAGTGGATTTCTGGTTACCAGCTTTAAGTAGCCATGAGTACCTAAACCCTTTTCAAAAGAAGATATTTTCTCTCGAAAAATATAGCATCTTGAAAATGACTAATGGAGTGATTTATACGTGCTCGGTGCAATTAACGGTTGGTTGTTTTTCAGGCATGGCCACAACACCTTCACCAATTGCATATGCCCCAACAAATCCTTCATCAGGTATGTGTTTTATATCTTGAGGCACGTACACGAAAATCTTAGAATGAAGATCCCTGCATCTGTTTTGAGCCCACGCTAACCAGATCGTCTTACTTGAATGTGTTAACTGATACTCAATGGACGAACCTCTATCAATGAAAAGAGCTTTTCCAGAGCCTGTCTTTTCGAAACATCAATAGGCAAAAACTCCAACTTTCCCTTTTAGGGTCTCTCCCTTCTTTTCCATTGTCAACAATTCCTAATAGTTCAGCCATATACATTACTTTTTTTTTTGATCGCATGAGGTCCAACAGGAGCAGATTTTGGAAACCATTTGTCACGGACACTACTGATACCGTGACCTTGTCACGTTATTTCTTTACATTTTGTATCCTCCAGCCTGGTCGAACAACTCTTTGTCTCAAGTCTATGCCGTTCCAGCTGAGAACATGACGGCTCCTGCAGCTTATCCCACTGCCTCTCAAACATTCAATGCTACAGCAGCAACAGCACCGGTTATTGAAGCCGCCCCAATACCTTCAGCAGCTGTGTATGCTCCGATGGAGCCGGTGTTCAATGCTACGGCAGCCCCAGTGGAAGTACCGACTGCTTCTGGTAAATCTATTTTTTTTTTCCTTCCTTGTGATTTTCTATTCGTCTTTTTCGCTTGTTTTCAGTTTTGTATTATTATTCTGTCAGATAGTTTTTTTTTTGTTGTTGTTGTTGTTGTTTAATTTGTTTTGCCATAGTTGTTTGTTGATTTTTCTGTAAGTACATCGAGCGCGTCAGGATGTCAGTTTTTTTTTCTAAAGTTTTCCATGCCGCATGAGTAGCTTGGTTGCTAAAAAAAATTTACCTTACCAGACAATAAAAGTAAGAGGTTGGCATGAGATGAGAAACGAGAGATAAAGCGAATTTGGAGTGAAGGGAGACTCGATATACAACTCACAAATTAAGACAGTGGCGGATAAAAAGAAAACGTAGCCTGGAATCCACCTCACCACCTGTGGCAATGACGAAAGATTCTCCCATACAGACCTCCCGCTCGATTAATAAGAATTGAATACGATTGGAATAAAAAAAATCAATGCGCTCTCTGCAAATTCATCAACGCACTAAATGGGAGCGATGGATAGTGGTGCGATGCATCGATATAGTTTAAAGATGGTTTATTTTCTTTTTGCTTGTTTCTTTTTTAATTAGTCACCTATGAGCAGAATACTTCAGTATCTAACGCTTCTAATGTGGCATCTGATCAGTATGGTAAGCTCTTTGATATCCTATGATTAACACGGTTGATTAGCTCACGTTGTTGAGTGCCGGACTGCTGTTCAAGAGGTCAAACACAAGACCGGACCAACAATCAGGGTATTAAAATAACGAGGGCGAATCTCTTGCCTTTGCTATGACATCCACAAATGGTTAGACATTCTAGTCTTCTCGGACAAGGACGATAAACCGTAAGCCACGTCACCTGCATCTTCTCTGTACTAGTTAGCAGGAGACGTTAAAGAACCCGCGCACTTCTCGTAAAGTGTAAGGACCGTAGCTCCCGTTATTGTAGTCTGGCCTTGTCTTTGTCTATACACGCCCCCCTCCCCCCCTACCATTTAAAACCAGCTTCAAGCTGAACTGGGCCAGCCTGTCTAAATATTGCAAAAGCCCTGGTTTAAGTTTGAGGAAAGGTAAATAGTATGAACCAGAGAGGAATCTGCAAATTTTCTCTTCACCGAACCATCTTCAAATCAACTATAAACAATACATGAAATATAAAATCCAAGTTTTTGGAGAACATAATGTATTCATACCCACGCGGTATGTATATTGAATGGTTTAATCTTCTGTTGACCATATGGTTTTCCTACGCGCCCTTGAAAACATCACTTGTGTTGAACGTCGCACACCACCTGCAAAACCTGCTGAAAAAAATAAAGTTTCATTCTAACTGAATCGGCGAAAGAGAGAGTAGTTTAAGGGCTGCCCACTTCAGTTCCTTGAACTACAATGGGCAAGTTAATTGTTCAGAATGCCCCAGGGTTAATTGAGTAAACTTCCTTAATCTTTTAACTGCCCTTTTTCGAATTTAGGGCAAATATCTAACATTCCAACGCAGTCTTCAGGCTTGGGTAAACTTTCCACGCCACCTGGCTATACGGGAGGACTTATACCACTACCGGCAGGTAAGAATAGAACCTTTTTTTGTAGACATTCTGCCAAGACGAAGCTTAAGTTGTAAAAATATTATAAATTGAACTTTATTCCCTTCAGATTTTAAGCTGTACTCAGCTATCACTGCTTTCTCTAATACTCATACTGTCACTTAAAAAAAATCACGATCACGATCACGATCACTTCTGTATTCTCTTTTACTTTCTCTGTCCATCTAATTTACTTTATATAAACACTTGGTCAGCTTCGATAGAGCTTGAACAAACTAGAGGGCACGGATGGAGCTGGCTAAAACTATATAATATGTTATAAGCAGCAGGAGTTCTCTTTTGAAACTTTTTTTTTAACTGCCACGTTGTCTTCTTTTGACAATCCACTTCTCAGGAATCCCCAAGTCATGCTCAGAAATCCGTGCATCTGGAATTGGGTCACAGGACGGGGAGTACGTGATTCAAGCAAGGCCAGACTGTCACTTGAACATTATTTGTCAGAACATGGACGAACCAAACCCAATAGAGTTCCTTGGTGGTCCGGAACAAAGATACTGGCTTTATTGGCATTATGCAATCCTTATTAGGCTTTCAGCATACGACAAACAACACGTAGATAAAAGAGCTTGCCTTGAAAATACTGGTATGTTTATAATGAGCCGTGGCCTTTAGTAAAGAGATTGGAAATTTAGATATCACTTTAGATTTACAAAAGAGTCTGATTCGAGAAAGGATTATTATTAAGTCTTTGTATTTTTGCGATTGCTTGTCAGGCCCGTTCATAAAACTTCCCCTTGAAATGCGCTGCAGTTTTTTGGTTGTTATTTTCGTTGCTGTTAGTACCGTTGCTGCTGTTGGTGACTTTTTTTCACTCCCGTTATAGCTGTTGTTGTAAGTGATGTAGTTATGCCCAGCTTCTACGTTTCAGTTAAGAAATGGTCAGCGTGTAGCGCGCAACCATCAAGTTATGGATACACTTGGGAGCTTTGCTAGGCACGAAAGAAGAGTAAGAGTCGCACGAGGCGATGAGTCTTTCAAACATCTTTTGTTTCGTGTAGAAAAAAAAAAACAAAACAAAACAAACTGACTTAAGAATGTAACACACGGGCAAATGGACCGAGGGTACTGGCCAATCAGAGCGCGCGCTTTTGTAAAGTTATGTGGTTACCTTGTAACTACAACCTTTTTAAAACTTTCCAATAGTGGGACGTCTAAAGGCTAAAACATGCAATGACTTGTTTTCTCCATTAGCGGATGGCCGCTCATTTATTCATAAGGTGATGGACGCTGGTGTAAGGCAAGGTAATCCTCTCGTTCATTGGAAAACCAACATCAAGCACATGATAAAAAACTTCATCGGAAAAATGAAGAAAAAGAGAGAGCTGAGAGAAGATGTCACTCTAAGTACAAAAGCTATGAAGATTTACAAAAGGTGAGGAATATAAGATTGAGTTCTTAATGACGATTAGAATGGCCACAATTTTTTTTTCAACGACATGACTCAGTGTTCAGCTTAGAAAACTGAAAAAGGGCTTCATTATCAACTTTGAGGAAGTACTAGTAGTGAAGTGGTTTTGCAGCTTAACTCAAGAGTCATCATTAACAGATAAAAAAAGCAAGGCACCATAAGCCTAACCTAACGTATTAGGAAAATTACCCTTATAAAAGAATAAAGGCTGATAGTTTCGAAAAAAACTGTTTGGGGCTGCGTCGGTGGGAGTAACGAAATAATTTGGATATATCAACAAAGTTGAAATGGTAAATTGGCCACCGTAACGATTACAAAAGCTGACGTTTCGAGCGTTAGCCCTTCGTCGGAGCGATTAGAGGAATTGTGAGGCAGCTCGGGGGTTTTAATAAGACTCTCTTCACAATGGCCTCTTAAGGGTAAGTTTCATCGTCACCAGGTGACAAGAAACGCGAGAACTGAACATTGTTTAATTGGTCATATATTTGTACTGAAGACTTGAGTCTTCAACAAGCTTTTATCAGGAAAATGGCAGCTGAAAATTAATCATCTTCACAGACTATTTTTTTGACTGAGGGTATCTTTCTTTAGCACCATGTTGTGTGAGGTTTGTTTGCAATGCACTGAAGATACTGTACTTATTTGGATATAGCATAAACTTCTTATGTAGATTAATAGTTATTGGTTAGATTTTTGGAATTATTGGTTAGATTTTTGGAATTATTGGTTAGATTTTTGGAATTATTGGTTAGATTTTTGTGAAGATTACATACTATCTTGGTAACTGACATGGAGTAAATAGCATTCACAAGGAAAAAGTAATAAAATTTCCTTTGTATTTTTTTAGATTTGCGCCGTAAACAGAGAGGAAAACATGTCACCGTGAAGACGTTGTGTAGTGCACTCTAAATATTTTTCATCTGGTTTAAGAAAAGTTTAGATGGAAACAAAGAAAAGAAGGAGGAATATGAACATGTAGATTTTATTTTCAACAAGCATTATTAATTTTTGCTTAACCTTTCCGAGGCCCGTTTAAGATTCAATTAGACCTTAACTTGTTTTTACCCCATACGTTTCTTTAAACATATCTTATCAATCTTGTGCACCTTGCACCTGGAAGTCATTTTGCAGAAACATTATTACGCTTTGCGAAACTTTCTTCAAAACTCACTACGATGAATTTATGCACATTACCATGACCCTGAAGCAAACGCCGAGGTTCACCCTTTGAAATCGAATTTGGATTTATTAATTACTTCACATCAGTTCAAGTTGTTGGAATACTTTCATGGTAGTGATGAAGCCCTAATTAATTAGATTTATTTGAAAAAAAAAGTTTGAATGAGTTTCTCTTGTTTTTAAAATCGAGTTCTAGCTTTCGAACAGTCTTAGGAATAACATTTGCCATGAGGAAACTCAGCGGAGTTACATCTACAGAATCTCACCTGGTCCAAAAATTCAGGGGAGTCAATCGTTTCTACATGAAAAATATCATAACAGTTAACTTCTCAAGTTTCTTTTAATTGCCCACTTAAATGAAGTTTACTCAGTTAAATGTACTTAAAAGTAACGTCTCCAAAAAAATTTTAAAGTAGATGAATATTGCTAAGAGCCAAGACAAAAACAATTAAAAGATTATTTTGTCTAGAATACACTCATCGTTTTTTGTGTTACTCCTTTATTTAGAATTTCAGCAGCCCAAAGGCTCCACAGCTTACTCTCGATTCCCTGTCATGGAAAAATAAGAGTATTACTAATCCTTCAGTGTAAGTGATTTCTCCCCCCCTCCTCTCCACAAACACTTCTTCAAAATGATATTTCAGTTCGTCTGCGTGTCGTAGAGAAGAGCCTGCTGGGAATGAGAACACTCAATATAGCTTAAAACTAAAATTCAGCTATTTTGGGTGTTCTTGCTCCAAACAGAAGGCAACGACGAAAAAGGTCAGAGGTCATTGGTAATTTTTAAAACCAAGAATCAATAAATGTAATTGCAAACGGTTAATCGAATCTGGAGAAAAAAATGACACCCGCCGGCACTTGGGCACTTAGGATACACTTTTCAAGGAAACTATTATTAACATGAAAGAGGGTATCAATCTAAGAGGCTGAAATCTCCATGTGGGTCTTGTTGCTAAGGAGATCCCCTACAGGTTTTTTTTAGATCACTGCCATTTTTGTAGATTCTCGAAAGATCCAGAACTGACTCATCCTGTTTTTTTCGTTCTCATCCTGTTTTTTTTTTTTTCGTTCTTTCACATCTGTCTTCTCCCTCGCTTACGCAACGTTCAAGCAGCGCGCGAGATAAGTCGTTGACATTTTTCTTCGTGAGACACCCTGAAGCTAAAAAGTAATACAGAACTGAGACCACGAGACAGGTTACTTGTGGAATATGGGTTAATTTGGGGAAGCAGCCTCCTAGGTCAGCACTCTTGTGTTTTAAGTCAGTTCCTATTTACGTAAATTTTTCCTTTCACGTGCATTCGTGTTTTACCCAAAAGAGGAAATGTTTTTTGATGGGTTAGAGACAATTGATTATGCATCGCCTAAAGTCGGCGGATCTTGGCTGTGTCACAAAAAAATTACCAGATCCTTCTCCCCCCCCTCCCCCCACCCTGCCCCCTTGCTAAGGCTCCGTAGTATTCTGATGATTCCCTAGTTTCTTACCCAGACCTTCCACGGCTTTGCGGTTGTTAAGTTACAGTTACACGGTAGGGTCGGGGCACGAGATTAATGGTCTCCTTCTCTGGCGGTCAATTTCCATCAGTCCTCCACTCTGTTAGCGACGACCGATCCCCCCTTTTCACCTCCCCGAAAACCATATGATCCCCCCTGTTCACCTCCCCGAAAACCATATGACATATGATCCCTCCTGTTCACCCCCCGAAAACCATATGATCCTCCCCTGTCTGGTGATAAATGATGATCCTTTAATGTTAAAAAGTTTAAGCCTGTGGCAAGAAATGTATTTATTCACTTGCAACTGTCAATATCACATTCAGTACTCTACAGTCAAAGTATTAAGTTTCCAAAACAGGACATTTGCATTTGGTGTCCTTATCTTTGCATTTAAAGTAATTTCTAGATCAAGTCGATCAAAGAAAATGCCGAAGCTGTCTCTCTTTTTCCCCTCTGACTAAAATTTCGAAGTCCCAGGCTCTGACCTAGGTTTCCTTTTATTTCTCTTTTTTTTTTGTTTGCTTTTTAGCATGTGCTGTTTTTACATGTTGATAGTATAAAAGTTATCCCCGATGAAATCGAGTCGAAACGGATCATATTATTTAACTGAGATTAAACGAAAAGTAAACCGAACATTACTGGCTAAAGCGTGTTGACTAAAACGCTCGGTCACTTATTGAATTATTATCTAAAATTAAAATGGAAATTTTCCGATGGCTTTAAATGTAAAGGCTGATCATCTCTTTGTGGCTATGGTTCCATTAGACGCTAAACTAAAATTTCCTTTCAACTGAAATAGCCGAGTCTTTTCAAACCATGCACAAAGCAACGATCAAAGACGACACCTGCGTTTAATTCAAAATCGAAACATTTTCGCTTTTATGATAATAAGTAAAGGTAGGAACTTCATTTAAAGGCGAAAGTTTCTTTTAGAGAGTTCCGCAGTTTCTAGTCCTCTGTACACAGTACATTACAGACTGAGGCTCCACTTTATAAAGTTTACTCGCTAAAAGAAAACAATATTTAAAAATATATACTATTTAGTCTTTATTGAGTCGGCAGAAGTTACCGCCATACGAAACATAGCCCGAAAAAAACTAAGAAAACATGATTTTTGCCATAAAAGGACCTTTACATGTGTGAAATAACACTCGTGTAAATTCTAACACTTACCTTGGAGTTATATTTTTTTTTCAGCGTGGGAGAAAAGGTGAACGAGACCAATTTTTCGTCATGATCTTCAACACCACAAACAACGTAGGAATTGGTCTCTGCTCGTTGTTCAGCGAGTTTGTCTGTTTATGGAACTCGCTTTGTGCTTTCAATGAAGAAATTCGGCCAATTAAAAATAAGTAAACACCACTCAAGTACTTAAAGCTGCATTCACTCTGGTCGGCTTGTATATCAATGGATTAAACCTTGATAATTAAACGACAATTAATATCAGGAATCCGGCAAGAGAACACTGAAGCTTTCAGCTAAATAACACACCATTTTGAAAACTTCCCGTCCTTTCCAAAGCGCTCAAAAGAGGCTGTAATAAAAACCTTTCCTTTCGACCGCACGGATTGCACTGGAGTGAGTGAGCTTAACAGGGGAGAGTGTTCTAATGGAGTGTTTTTAAAAATCAAATGGACCTTTTATTCCTGTGTATACACGAGTAGTGCTTTACGCTTTTAGCACTTTCAAGTTGGTAAACAATGGAGTGATGTCCATTTAACATTATACGCTTTTTAAGCTTTTACAATTCATTTCCAAGTTAGTGCCCTTCCTTTTGCCATTAGAGTTTCTTGCGCTTAATGCATCTCTTAGCAAAGATGCGAGCTGCTTTTAGTTTGAAGGGTTAAGCTTTTAAACTGAAAGTTCACCTCTTTGCTTGGATGTTTCTGTCGGAAAAGGAATAATGTACAAACTGTAAAAAAATGCTTACAGGAAAGAATTGAAAAGAAAAAGAAATAATAAGCCGAATTTGAGCAAAAAAACTGAAAGAATCGTATCAGAATCGCGTTTATTAAAGTGAAGATCAATATCTTGTCCGCTCAATATGTCTTCAATACATTATTTCCACTCAAACTACTATATTTATTCTCTTTTGCTGTGACCCTGAGTGCTTGATGTTCAAATGAAGTGAGAAATTACCCTTCTATGTTTTTACTCGTATTTTTTTCATGTTACACTCAAGGTCTTTTTACACCATGTCACTGGTTTGATCATGAAGTTGGCAGTTTCCATTGTGAAGGCAAGACAGAAATAAAAGAAAGATCATGATAATTTCAAGAAAGGAAATAATTTAAAGAAGGTATTGAGGGTAATAAGTGCGGCGACAGACTGTGAAAAAAAAAAAAAAACGTGTTAGTAATTTTATCTTCTTCTTCTTGCTCTTATTTTTTAAGACAGTCTGAGTTTAGAACGCAATTTCCGGTGTAAGTTTTTAAGCGTGAATGAGTAATTTTATTAGTGATATAATAGATAAATAAATGAAAAGATGAAAAAAAAAATGTATAAAATGAAGAAATTTGGATTACGACGCCGGTTGCATGAAATACTACCCCCAAGAAAGGAGCAATCTTCCTTCCTTCTCTCACATCACGTGCAACCTCGGTGTAAAACCTTTAGTTTGACTATATTGATGGTAACAAAATGAGAGACTGTAACGGTACCATGTGCGAATCTTCGTTTTTGCTGAAAGAACTGAAAGTCAAGCATCACGTTAACAGCTGGCTGGCCATAGAAAACAAAAATGGTTATTCTTACCTTCTATTTCCAGCTCTTTCTCAGTATACCCTTCAGAGATCTGAAAATTTTTGTCTTTACTATAAACATGTTACTTGATTATTTTGTTGTTGCTTTTTTGTTTGTTTCTTTTTGTTGTTTTAATATTTTGTTTTTGGGTTTTTTCCACATTTTTCACGTACAGATTAACTGGAAAAGTGAGCTAAAGCAGACTTCATTCTTCCCGGCGTCTACCGTTGCAGTAAATTTCATCTGTTCACCTGGGCCCAGCTGTTTGAAGGGCGATTAGCGCTAACCCAGGGTTAACTTTTAATCCCGGTTTTTATTATTTCTCTCTCAGTTCAAAAGCAGTTTTGGGATAATTCTCCGAATTCTTTTAGAGCAATCGATAATCAAATTTTAGGCAAATAGAATTACACTGAATTTTCCTATAAAGCTTTCAGATCTAAAATCAAATTTCACACTACCCTAGGTTCATTTCCCACCTTTGAACAACCCGGCCCTGGAGAATGGAAACGGGTTCTTTTTCGTATGCCTAAGCTTGTTACTTCCGGTTTGCCCATCTTGTAAAACGGTATCAATTCCGATAATCGACCTCAAACCTTACCACCTTGGCAAATGTTTGACATTAGAGAGTGCTCGCTTTAGCGCCCAAGCACCTTTTACCATCAGTATCGTCATGGACGAATAAAATAAGTTTGAAATTAAACATATTTACACTGGTGGCTAAGTCGTAGTGCGCTTCCACTGTTTTCCTAACTAGTTGTATTGGAGTTTCCCCCCTCCCCCCCCCCCAAACACTTTCCCCTGCCTTTCAACCGCCAATAATTTAATTAGCCTCGCAGCTGGAGTGCAGCACTGACTCAGAATGGATGGGGTGGGGAGGGAAAGAGAGGGAAGAGGGGAGAGGGGGGGTTAGTCTGGTTTACAAATAGAATATGAACTTCTGAAATCAATAAGAAGACTGTCAAGAGAAATATTTCCTCAGAGAAACAAGTTATTTTTTTAAACTCAACGTAGTGCATTTATGGATAGAGTAGAAAATGTTACATAGTCGCGCCTGGATACGATTTTTTTTCGTTGAGAATCCCAGGTGGGAATACCGTTGGCATTTGTAGCACAATCTCTGACGGGCGATTAACAGGCGGAAATATGGAAGGTGTTCCAAAACGAGGAACTTAGCGGGTGGGAACCCAGCAAAAGTTATTTTCCACGGCGTGCAAGGTATATCGACTTGCTTG